TGTCTTTCCAGGCACCCAGGGGGGATTGTGGGAAGGCATTGGAGGACAAGAAGCATTCGAGTGGTGCAAGCCCACATCCTCCCTGCAAAGAGGGTGGGTGACCAGCTGGGTGAACCCAGCATTCAGGACAGGATGGGCCAGGTAACCCAGGTTTAAAGCACCACAGCCCTAGAGTTTTGTGTGTGGAGGGGAGCCAGGATGGGGCATCTCCCGAGTAAGACCCCAGCCTCTCTCTTTTGTGAAAACACCCCCCTTAGATTTTCACACTCAGCTGGGCACCACTTCATCTCTTAGCATGAGCAAAACTGGGCTCCATTAAGCAACTTTCTCTGTCCCTGTTTTGCATACAGCGCACCGTCCCCAGTCTCTAATTTTGGCTCATCGCGGCCATTAAAAGGACACGGTCAGGATGAAAGTGGTGTTTTACAAAGACCAGTGCTGGCGAAGCCTGGGATCAATGGGAGCACAGAAACTGCTAGATCAGACTAAGAGCCCATCACCCCGTCTCCAACAGGCCCCAGCACCAGCTACTTCAGAGGAAGGTGCGTGAAACGCTGCAGCAGGCACTTATGGGAAAATTTCTCTTAAGCCCCTCGGTTATTGGTTGGCTTCTGTCTAAAATGGGAGGGGTCAGATCCTTTCCCAGGGAGAAGGGAAATTTACCTCTTCCTCTGTGGCATTTGCCACCCACCTGTCGCAGGGTTGCACTCGTACCCAGGAGCCAGGACCTGGCACTGGCTAGAAACCAGTGAAACCGACCGGTCGTCTTTTGCATGGTCTGAGCAAAGCCCCGAGCAAACAGCCTGGGTGGTGAGAAGCTAATTAGGTGGCTGCGACTCCAGTCAGGTTTAATGATCCTCTGCAACTGCTGCTGTTAACAACAAAGGACGTTTGCTACTCTAAAAATAACACAAGCGGGTCTGCTCTCAGTCCCGGCTGGATCTGTCCTGGGAGTTCAAACCCGATAGTGTCTCTGTGCCCCAGCCCAATAAAATCGCCACCCCAGTAAAAGGCTAGATCCCACCTTGGCCAGTCTCAGGCTTAGCAGCGGGGGCTGCACAGCAATCAGAGCTCCCAGGAGGAGCTGATCTGGCCAAGTTCCCTGTGGGAGGCTCCAGGACAGCATATGTTTCTGTTGCGGCAGCGTCCGCACAAAGTCCATGCCCCCCCACATCACCCCAGGCCGTGCTGTTAGCCAGGGCCGATATGGAGTCCCTGTTCTGCCTTCATTATTCCTTTCCAAGCCTTCAGCTCCTGTTGGGGAGCTTGGCAGGAGCGAAGGGCGACGCAATCCTCCCGCTTGGGCCCTTGGTGTTGGCAACCATCAGCTTCAGAGGAAAGACATGGCTCTGCCACTGAGCCCCTGTGTGGAGTCAGGCCCGTCGCTCTGTGCCTCAGTTTCCCTAACTGTACAATAGAGATCATCCTTTGTCGGTCTTGTTTCTTATGATTGTAAACTTTCTGGGGGAAGAGTCTCTCTGTCTGTTCGCTTCCCAGCACAATGGGGTCCAGATTTCAGCCGGAGCCTGTAGGTGCTACTGTCACACCAATAATAAACTGGATCAAACTCACAGGGAAGGGTAACCCTGGCCGATCTGGGCCATGTTAGTCATCACCTAGCCACGCTAGGCTAGACTCCACCCTCCGTTAGGGTCAGTGGAACTGCCTGGATGCAAGCGAGGACAGGATCCAACTCCTGCAGGAGTCAACCCCTCAGATTGTGCACAGATCTCAGGCAGCTTTCCCGGCTCCAGGGCTTTTCTCTTCAAGATACCATCAGCCTCCCATCCCTGTCTCCGTGGCCGCATTTGGGGGCCAAGTCCGGCCAGGAGCTGCAGCGCTGTTATCAAGGACATGGGAGAGGGGTGGGGACTGGCAGAGCTGGGAGAGAGTGGAACTGAATCAGGACTTTGCTTCCACAGTGAAAATATTTACAGCTGAACCCTGATGAACTGAGACCCTCCAGCATACAGGGGCCACTGGCCACCTCCTCCTGCCAGCAGCCTGGTGTGGCCCTCCTGATTAGAGGCTGGTGGAGAAGGCAAAGAGCCAGCCTCATGCCCCAGGGAAAGGCCTAATCTTGTGTTGTTGTTACCGTCTCCTAGCATCAGGCTCCTCCCCACACCTCCTCTCTGGGGGATGCAGGTTACCCTGCTGTAGCAAAGCAGCCAGGCAATGGGATGCTCCTGATACCCTTGCTGTGATTTTCCCTGATCCTTCCTTAATGCACTCGAGATGTCATACCATAATGCTGTCCGATCTGGTCAGGCTGCACGCTATTTGGGACAGTGGCCTCACCTTCGTATTTGACTATTAAGTACTCGGGCTCTATGCAAAGGTATCATAACAGCAATATCTGGCCTCCTGTAACAAACACAGGCCTCCATGCATCTGCCCAGGCCTCCTGACGTTAATTAGGATGCGGTTCTGGGCACTGACGCAAAGGCAGATGCGCAAAGTTCCTTGCTGCATTTCAGGGCCAGTCTGTTGCACAGGGAGAGCTGGGTAGAATTCCAGGGTCTGGGAACCGGGCTTGGAATGGGCCAGGATTAATGTAGCGGAGGGGTGCTAAGACTAGAGGATGCCTCAGTCTGCAAAAAGTCAGACCTGGATTCTGAGCCTCCCGCTCCAACAGAAATTTGGTTCAAGCCCAACTCATCTTAAGAGCGATTCTTCTAAGTATTAACACTACAAGAGTGTCTCTAGGAATCATAGAATCACAGAATATCGGGGTTGGAAGGGACCTCAGAAGGTCATCTAGTCCAACCCCTGCCCAAAGCAGGACCAATCCCCAACTAAATCATCCCAGCCAGGGCTTTGTCAAGCCTGACCTTAAAAACTTCAAAGGAAGGAGATTCCACCACCTCCCTAGGTAACGCATTCCAGTGTTTCACCACCCTCCTAGTGAAAAAGTTTTTCCTAATATCCAACCTAAACCTCCCCCACTGCAACTTGAGACCATTACTCCTCGTTCTGTCATCTGCTACCACTGAGAACAGTCTAGATCCATCCTCTTTGGAACCCCCTTTCAGGTAGTTGAAAGCAACTATCAAATCCCCCCTCATTCTTCTCTTCCGCAGACTAAACAATCCCAGTTCCCTCAGCCTCTCCTCATAAGTCATGTGTTCCAGTCCGCTTATCACTTTTGTTGCCCTCTTCTGGACGTTTTCCAATTTTCCATTTTCCAATGAGGCCAAGATCAGGCACCTATTGATAACATATAGAGAATAAAAGAGCCCAAGAATTTACAATAGTGTAGCCAAAGGGCAGGGAAAAGGGATCATTATCCCCATTTTACAGATGGGGAACTGAGGGCCAGAAAGATTAAAGCCCAGGTCCTCAGAGGTATATAGCCCAGATCCCATTCAAACCAATGGGAGTTAGATGCCTAAATATCGTTGAGGATCTGGGCTTTAAAGTGCCTCACCCAAGGCTGCACAAGATGTCAGTGTCAGAGCTGGCAAGTGAACCCAGATCCCCCGAGTCCCAGGTCACAAGCCCATCCTGACCCTCATTAGCAGCAGGCAAGTGGCCCTGTGATCTAGTGTGAGCTCGTCGCTGCATGGAGCTGGTGACTCAATCACAGGGCAAACAATTGCTGCAGGTGCCGAGTGCAACCAAAAAGAGCATTATTAGCGACCAGACAAGAAGCTGCTGTCCCGATGGCCTGATGAGGCCGGGTGTTGATTGCAGGGGCTGGGCCTCAGGGCTGGGATGCGGGGGGAATTGGAGATTTCCGGTGGCCTTGCAGGAGATCTTCTAGTGCATACTTACAGCAAGATTTTCAAAAGTGATGCAGTGAGTTTGGGGGCCCAACTTGAAGCTACTTTAGAGAGCAGGTGCTCGGGTCCCTTCTGAAAATCAGGCTTCTCTGAAGCAGCTCAAGCTGTTGCTAATCACTTCTGAAAGTCCGGGCCTTACTTGAGTTTCTGTGAGAGATGAGCCTGAATCCGAACTGGAATAAAAACCTGGATCCGGCCCCATGGTTCATGGCTGCAGCTAGAGCCAAACTCCCCCAGCTCTGCTTTAAACGGAGCTTCCCGTCTTTGAAAACCCCTGCTCTCTTCGTGACACATGGTCCATCCTGCCTGTCCTTGGGTAAGTCGCTTCCCCGCTCGGGCCTCAGTTTCTCCGCCTGTAAAATGGGGATAACGGCGCCTACCCACCTTTGTGGAGCACTTTGTGATCGAGCGATGGGAAGTGCTCAGTGTGTTATGGTTATGTTCGTGCTCGATCAGGTGGTCTCAATGCAATGAAAACTCCCGCTGCCTTTGATGGCATTCTCTCCCTGTAGCAGTGGGCCAAACAGCACTAAGTAATCCCAGAAAAATTCCTCAGAAAAAACACCTTGCCGCAGCGTATCCAGCACACCACTTCTCCACTCTGGCATCCATGTACACGGATGCTCCCCAGGGCCTTTGTACATCTCTGAGAGTTAACATGCTTGTAATGACCCCGCTGGGCAAGCATTTTGTTTGGGGGCCCAACTTGAAGCTACTTTAGAGTAATGTAAAGTACTCTCCTCATGGTGACTCTCTTCCTGTTATTTTCCTTTGTGATGGGAGTGGGAACCTGGGGGAACCCGGGCTCCAAACAGCCAGACAAAAGGACCAGGTCCACCAGCAGGGTAGGAAGGATCAGGGCCCGGGGGGTGGGGATAGGACCATTAATAACAGGTCCACCAGCAGGATAGGAAGGATCAGGGCCCGGGGGGTGGGGATAGGACCATTAATAACAGAGCTTTCCACCTTCAAAGCCCTTTACACACATTAACCAAGCCCTCCCCGCCAAGTCTTGTCTCCCATGTCACAGACAGGGAAACTGAGGCACAAGGAGGCAAAGTGATGCACCCGGGGTTGCAGCCAGAGGCAGAGCAGGGGTGAGAAAGGACCTGTTCCTGGCTCCCAGGCCAGTGCTCAAACCACTAGCCCCTGATACCTGGGGCACAGGCCTCTAATGTCCCCTGGGGACTCCCCCACCCCGGTGCCCTCCAGACTCACTGTTGGGACTTTCCTTCCACCGTGTGCCTTGCACCTTGCCACTGCTGTCGATGCACAGGAAGAAGTGGGTGGCGCCGTACAGCCTCCTCCAGCGCACGTCGCCCTCCAGATGATTATAGCTGCGGGGGCGCCTGCTGGTGGCCCCCGAGCGGTTGCTCCCCGACGGGTCCCCGTGGGCCGATCCGGCGAGCAGCGAGAGGGCCAGGCAGAGCCAGAGAGAGCAGGGGCGGGCCAGCCCCCGCCGCCCCATGGCAGTCCCGGGGGCAGGAGGTCCAGGCGGCAGGCGGGACGGGTGCGACCATGCGCTACGATGGGTTCCAGCACATGCCCGGGCTCAGGCTGGCGGGAGGCGCGGGGCTCGTCGCCAGCCCAGCCAAGAGCTCCCCGGGGGCATCCCCGGTGCCAGCTTCCCCGCAGGGCTCCTAGGGCAGGGGGGACCCCCACCCCCAGGAAGGGGTCAGCGGGCAGCAGCCCCTGGGGAAGCCCAGCCAGGGCAGGCAGGAGCGGGCGGGTGCCCCCAGCCCTGGCTCCCTGCCCGGCCGCTGCTGGAGTCAGGCTCAGAGCGGGTGGCAGCGGGGACTCCCGGGCGCCGGCCGCGTCCCGGTCTCAGCCGCGGCAGGAGCAGACGCCACGCGGGGCCGGCCGGACCCGGGGACTCCTGCCATTGACAGAGCCGCCGCTTCTCCGGGGGGGGGCTGCCCGGCGACGTCCCAGCCAATGGCAGCGGGCGGAGGGCGGGGCGGCTCCTCTCATTCATAAATCTGCGAGGCCTTTAAAGGTCTGGGTGCGCGCGTGTGTGAGTAGATCTGTGTCTGCACGTGTCTGCATAGAAGGGGGGAGCGTGTTTGTCTGCATTTGCGTGTGTGCGCGTCTCTGTCCGTGTGTGTGTGCGCGGGCATATGTGTGTGCATGTCTGTGTGGGCGTGTGCATACGGGTGTATGCCTGCGTGTGTGCGTGTGTGTATATCTGTGTTTGTGTGTGTGCGTACGTGTGTACATATGTGTGCGCATGTCTGTGTGGGCGTGTGCATACGGGTGTATGTGTTTGCATGTGCGTGTGTGTGTGTGTGCGTACGTGTGTACATATGTGTGCGCATGTCTGCGTGGGTGTGTGCATACGGGTGTATGCCTGCGTGTGTGCGTGTGTGTATATCTGTGTTTGTGTGTGTGTGTACGTGTGTACATATGTGTGTGCATGTCTGTGTGGGTGTGTGCATACGGGTGTATGTCTGTGTGTGTGTGTGTGTGTGCGTGTCTGTGTTTGTGTGTGTGCGTACGTGTGTACATATGTGTGTGCATGTCTGCGTGGGCGTGCGCATGCGGGTGTATGTGTTTGCATGTGTGTGTGTGTGTGCATGTGTGTGTGCGTACGTGTGTGCATGCATGTGTGTGCATGTGCATGTTTGTCCGCCTTTGCATGTTTGTGCATATGTGCGTGCGTGCGTATGTGCATGACTGTGAGTGTGTTTGGGATCATGTGTGCCCATGCATGGGGGTGCCTGTTGCCCTGTCCTTGGTGCAGTCACTTGCACACTTCCGACCTTATGTCGCACGCTCCTTCCATCCTCTGTTGCACCCCACAAGCTCCCTGTGTGACCCCCCCCTCCTTCCCTTCAACGTCAGGGACTCCCTACAACTGCCCCCTCAATTGCCACCTTGTCATTTTACATCCACTTGGCGCTAGTGTGAATGGCTGGGCAAGGGGCAGTGACATGGAAACTCAAGCGTGTGTGTGTGAGAGAGACAGAGAGATGGTGTGCACCACAACTTTCTCAGTTCTAACCTCAGCTCCGCCACTGACCCTGGGCAAGTCCTGTCACCGTGCCTCAGTCTCTATAACAGATGGGCTATTCCTCACTTGGGTGACCAGATAGAAAGTGTGAAAAATCGGGATGGGGGTGGGGGGTAATAGGCTCCTATATTTAAAAAAAAGCACTGTATCGGGACTGTACCTATAAAATCGGGACATCTGGTCACCCTATTCCTCACCTCACTCACCCCGGGGAAAGACATGTGCATGTGAGTGTGTAGCTGTGTCCTGACATCAGTGTGTCGTGTTTACCCCTAACACACACCTGAGTGTTCTGCCTTTTTCACACCAACCACAGCTCTTCTTTGGCTTGTCGTTCCCGTACATTGTGAGGTGGAGATTTGTTTGTGTGCCCGACAGGTGGTGTGAAAATCGGTGCTTATGTTTACACGTGTGAGTGAGACACAGGAGCTGGGGTGGGGATGGGGGGAGCCTGAGAAGAGAAACTGACCGAACCTAGCACAGAAACACGACACGCAAAACTGAGTTTCTTTTCAGAGACAAAAAGAAAAGGAGTACTTGTGGCACCTTAGAGACTAACCAATTTATTTGAGCATGAGCTTTCATGAGCTCATGCTCAAATAAATTGGTTAGTCTCTAAGGTGCCACAAGTACTCCTTTTCTTTTTGCGAATACAGACTAACACGGCTGTTACTCTGAAACTTTTCAGAGACAGGCTCCGGGTCACCCTCCCTGCGCACAAGCCAGCTACACAATTCCAAGTCCCTCCCTCTGGATCCCGAGACTGCTGATGGTGCATAAACTGCCACTTAGATACCTAATACTTACCTATCCTCTGTTACCACTGATCCTGACTCCTCTGCGTTTGAAGGAGGCACTAGAGAGGAAAAGTTGTCCAGTGCTAGCCTGGGACCTTGGAGACCTGAGTTCAATTCTTCACTGACTCCCTTGGGCAAGTCACTTAATCGCTCTGTGCCTCAGTTTCCCCATCTGTTCAATGGGGATGATAGCACTGCCCTACTTCCCAGGGGGGCTATGAGGATAAATACATTAAAGATTGTGAGGTGCTCATATACTAAGGCGACAGGGGTTATATAAATACCCTGGACAGACAGCTCTGGAGAGGGGGGGAGTTGGAAACTGCCAGACCGCTTTGGAGAATCCAGATCAGCATCTGCACGTCTGGTGCTGACCCCGTCTGACTCTCTGCACCTTCTGACGCACGGGCCCGACGTCTGAACCCAGGGATGCCCCTTGGCATGGTGGTCTCCGCTGTGACACAGAGTGTTTTGCTGGGCCATGCGGAGCCTGTTCCTTCCCAGCAGCAGGAGATGAGCTTCCAGGAGGCCTCTACTGTCCTGTGTTGACAAACATTCTTCTCCCTAATTAGCAGCAGGGAGGGAAACGAGCACAAATATTCCTGGGCTGACCTGACCAGTTTTTTAAGCGCCTAATAGCAGCCCGTGAGTCACTGCTTGTCACCGGGGATATTTCTGCACCGTCTGAGACAGAATTATGAGGTCCTGGAGCAGGTCCTGGAATACCGGTACTGCCGGCAGAGTGCAGCCTTGGGTATGGATGTGCTAGTCACACACACACACACTGCCGGGCATGTGACTTTGGCAACACAAACCCACCTATACATGTGACTTGCATACGCTGATCAGGTGACTCACGCATACACACGTAGGTACCCGCGCACAGACACACACACGCCCGCTGGCCACGTGGTGTGTAGGCGTCATTTATGTGTGCACCCGCCACTGCTGACCCCTGCCACAAGTACATGCTCATGTGCACACAAACACAACCCTGGGACTGGTGCGTGCACGTGCGAGTGCTGCTCTCTTGTGCACACGGAGTTACTGGTGGTGCGACTCTCATGGTAATTACCATCGGCTGCTGCCTCCATGAAACAACCCCCGTCCAAAAGTCAGTGTGGCAAACCCTGGAGTTCAAGCCGGGTCCTGATGCACCAAACCCAGCAGCGAGTGCTGGGGGATACGGGAAGTCTACAGCCTTGTCCCTCCCAGCTGCAGCTGTCTTTAAACAGGCTTTCTCCCGAGCCAGCCCCCCAGCCCGTAGAGCAACTGCAAAGCCAGCACTGGCCCTGGCTGTGGCCGTGGAGTCCCAGGGCTCGTTCAGCAGGCTCTGGACCCTTTCTGATCCTGGGCACTATTAAGAGATATTGGCCCAAGCGGTGGAGGCTGGTTTCAGCTTCGCACCATGCAATATGTAACCTCCACTGATCAGCAGTGACCTTGACCTTGACTCAGGCCGCGTCTCCCTGTTGAGTCTGAGCAGCTGGATTGTGGCTTTTGGTGCATCTGACTTCACTTTGTCTTTTAAAACAGCGGGCTCCCTCCAGTGCCCATTGCAGCCAATGGGCATCTTTTCTCTGGCTTGGGATCCAATCCCTAGGGCTGGCGACAGGTCCTGATTGCCAGCCCCAGGGGACTGAAGGCCTCTGTCCAGCAGCAAGAGAAGCTTTCCCAGTGCTGCCCTCTGTTGATGGGCCTTGCCCTGACATGCAGGGGAGAGGAAAGAGCGTCTAGGAAGCCCATGCAGGGCTTGATTGCTCAGCTGAGGCTGCCAGCTGGGGTGTCAGCCGCAGTGGGATTCATTGGTGATCCAGGCAGCTGTTCCCTAGGCTCTGCTAGCGGGATGGGAGCAGCCTTGGTCACTACCAACGAGGGCTTGATTGGAAGGGGTGACCCGCCCCATCACCTTCCCAGCCCTATAGAGGGTCACTTTCCTCTCCCGCTCCCTACCCCTACTGTGGTCGCTGTCCGCTGTTCGGATATAGATATTCAGGCCTGTCTCTAAAGGCCAAACTCTAAGAATTTAGGTGTATTCTTGTCACTTAGCTGGTTCTAGAGGTATAAAAGAGAGAATCAAAATCACTGTCTGACTGTATAAGGCCTTTTCTCACTGTGACAGTCTGAGGTCCTGTTCTTAGGCTAAGGACTTTGGCTAAACAGCAGAGGCAGCCGTAAGCTGGGAAGCGACCGGTCAGATCCTCACATTCCAAACTAGTCCCATTGAAATAAGGTGCAATTGGGCTGTGAGGAATACAATCCTGTCCTGATAACGCCCATCGCCTCCAGAGAAAGGGAAGTCCCTCGAAAATGTAACAGGAAACTTAGTTTGATAGCATCCTGTCTGGCAAAAGAACTCACTTATCAATAGCTGGGATGTGAAATCCCCATTTCTGTGATGTTCCATCATTGTAGTCCCCATTTCCCTACTGTTTGTCTGTACAGTCTCTGTCTGGTTCTGTGATTGTTTATGTCTGCTGTATAATTAATTTTGCTGGGTGTAAACTAATTAAGGTGGTGGGATATAATTGGTTAAATAATCATGTTACAATATGTTCGGATTGGTTAGTTAAATTTCAGTAAAATAGTTAAGGTATACCTAAGCAGAACTCAAGTTTTACTGTATAGTCTGCAGTCAATCAGGAAGTAAGGTGGGGGAATTGGAATCATGTTTTGCTAATGGGGGGAACGGGAACGGGGACACAGGTGTAAGGCTCTGTGGTGTCAGAGCTGGGAAGGGGGACACTAAGGAAGGAAACTGGAATCATGCTTGCTGGAAGTTCACCCCAATAAACATCGAATTGTTTGCACCTTTGGACTTCAGGTATTGTTGCTCTCTGTTCATGTGAGAAGGACCAGGGAAGGAAGCGGGTGAAGGAATAAGCCCCCTAACATCTTAATGCCATGACTTGGATACATCGCATCGGATAGGTGAGTGGCAGCCTGTAAGTCCCCCTCCCCAACAGTCCATGCAGCTGCTTGGAGGGGGTATCGCGAACTCTCGTGATGGTAGTTGTGGGTTCTGGCAAGCCAGGGTAAAGGATTTTTTG